GATGATCATTTTTGTCGGGCGGGATCTGCGGGGTGAGGTGGCGGTCCACGGTGCGCGCCTGCTGGATGATGGCGAAGGTGAAGTTGTGAGACGCGGCCGCGATGAGCGTGATGCTGGCCGCCCACACTGGTAGCATGCGGAATTGCGGATGATGGACTACTACTACAATGTAGTAGTACATACCTGTTGGTCTTGGAGCAATGACGCGTGGGAGCTGGTCTGCTGGTGGACCAGGAAGGCCGCGCGTCGCCCGCGCCCGCGGAGCCTGCCGACCCGCTCCTGTGGTTCCCCGCCAGGTGCCCGCCGGGCGGGGAGGCCGCCGTGGTGCTCACCACGACGACGCTCCGCGTCGTGCGGGGGCACGTTCGAGGGCTGCAACGGCGTGCGCGCGCTGCTGGAGAACCTGGGCGCGGCGTTCCAGGAGCGCGACGTGTCCATGGACAGGGGCCTGGGAGAAGGCCGTGCCCCCGCGCCTCTTCGTGCCCGGCTGCGACGTCGGAGCCGCCGCGCAGGTGCTTGCTGCCACAGCTGGTGTCGATGTGCGCGGGCGCCGCGGGCGGCGACACGAAGCTCCACGCCCCTGGTGGCAAGGGCAGGTGCGCCGCGTGCGGGGGCCTCAGTTTCGTGGTGTGTGTCGGCTGCGACGCTGGAGAGCACAGGCGGAGTACCCACGCCGCTGTGAATAGCTTCAGATGTCAAAACCAAACATGTATGATGCTTTGCAGTATAGATGACCGCACATGTAAACACTCGGCAAAAGGTCTAAGAATAGATGTCCAACGAACAACGACCAACATTCATATAGGCGGAGTTAAGAAACTTCTTTCTATTGTCTTCCTTCTTCTTCTTGCAGGCACCGAAGAATGAGGAAGACTGATCTGAAACATATTCTCCCTAGTCCTTTATCGTGGCCAGATCTCACCACAATAAAATGAAGAAGAGACCAAATAAAATTATTCTATGACGGCGACACCATCTCCGCCTTGATGTCATCGTCCGGAAATAAAAGTCTCTATGTTGTCAAACCGGTGATGATGCTGACGCCGTAGTTGTCGTCCTCATCTTCAACAGAGCCGCTATGAACAAAATTATTCCACCCTGCCCTTTCGCCATCACCGGAGGGGGGAGGAGGAAATAAATCCCCAAAACCAAAAAACTTGCATTGAGAACCCTAAAGACTCAATCTACTGGGAAGACTTATTAAAAACAATGGATCTCCAATCCCTCCGACCTCTGTCAATATGCCGAAAGGGGAGGGAGGGGACCAGCGGTGGTGGAGGTGGGCGGCGGCGGCGACGGCAGCGCTCCGACTCGCAGGAGCCTTCAGTCGTGAGACCTAACCACTTCAGCATAGATCTAAAGTTACAATAAAAACTTTATACTAAAGCATACCATATTATATATTCACTGTGTAGATCTACTCATGTGGAGTAAAGAAAATTGGATTTTTCATTTTATGATTTTTCTATAATTTTTAAAAATTCAGCCAAAATAAAAAAAAGGCAAAACCGCCTTTAAAAACCACTTATATAAAATGAACGGTTCTAAAAGTTGATGAGGTAGTTTACCCGGTTTTAGAGTTAACGGAGAAAAACTAAACTTTGAGAATAGTTCAGGGGTAAAATAGACTTTTTCCTTGGAAGCCCACCAGAGATACCAGCTAATGGGCCTCGGAGAAGTGGCCGCAGCAGAAAGCCCAGTACGAGAGTGAGTGGAGCGGAGTGGGCGTCAGGGTGCCTGCGTGTCTACCAGTGAGGGGCCGAGAGCCCGTGTACCAGAGGGGTTACGAAGAATTTGTACAATCCTGTCCCCAATTTCTCCTTCCCATCTCTGATTGCTGCTAAGAAAAAAAAATTATATATCTAACATGACTTAGCTCTTGCAAATCATATATACATCTCAAACAACCAAATGGACCTAACCATCTGAATATCTATCATTTGCATACAAAATGGAACTGCACAAGTTGAAATCGACAGAAAAATATCCCAAAAAACCAAACAAACAAACAAAGAAAACAGGCACCGAAAGAGATCTACTTCGAAGCAGCCATCGAACGCAGCACATATAACCAACACAATATATATGTGCAAAAGCAGAGAGCATTTTGTAGTTCGCGTTTACAAGAAACAGTCCGTCGCTTCACAGAACTTGCTAATCATCACCGGCCTTCTTCAATAACAGAGCTCAGGAATGGCGACGAGGTGTGCGCCGCTGATGACCTTGGCGCCACGCTCGACTGCCCACTGACATTCCTGCTCATGAAGCTGCTGGTGTCGCCACCCTTGATCTGCCACTCGGTGATGTAGCTGGGTTTGTTCACCACCTCGCCCACCTCCACGTCCCCCGCCAGCATCGACACCGCCCGTGACATGGACGGACGCTGGTGTGGCGAGCCCTGGGTGCAGAGGAGGGCCACGTGGATGGCACGGAGCACCTCGTCGCTGTTGAATCCTGCGAGCTTGGGGTCGACCATGTCCAGAGGGTGGTTTTCTTCGTATAGTTGCCAAACCTGAAAGCATAGAAGATCAGCTAGAAATGACAAGATGCCAGATGCCACGCTGGAGTGACTTTGTCTTTAGTGATTTTCACTGTACAAATTCACATCTATGTTATGTTTGCTGTGCTAGCCAAAATCAAATGAAAAGAAGAAAAATACAATCAACCTCCCATGCCGCAATAAGATCCCAATTCATGCTGCCATAGTATATAGTATTATAGTAAAACTTGGCACCCTTTGTTCAAGAATCATAAACCTAGGCAACACTACAACTATATTTACAGTTTGGCAATTACAAAAGAAAATCAGATGAAACTAAGTCATAAAAGAAATTTTTATGAAGGCATGTGAGCTTGATATTATAAATCCCTAGCATAAATTTTGCTGAAGATCATACTAACAGTACAGAAACCAGACTGCGACACTGCCCAACTTCGAGGCTAGAGTTCAGAGTTAACATACCCATTCTAAAATATAAACCTTGTCTTCATCCAGCGTATTGTCAAAATTTGGCCTTCCAGCTAAGGTCTCCAATATGACCACACCAAATGCAAACACATCAACTTTCTCGGTCATATGACCTCTCATGGCGTACTCAGGTGCAAGATAACCACTTCACAGAAGAGTAAGAAATTGACATTAGCTCACATGTGAAAATTATCTGCAGGTGTAAAGGGGGCAAGATGGAAATGTACTTACAATGTACCCGCAACTTTTGTGCTGACATGGGTCTTCTTGTCATCATAAAGTTTGGCGAGCCCAAAATCCGAGATCTTAGGGTTGAGATTTGCATCAAGTAAGACATTGCTAGCCTTTATGTCCCTATGCACAACACGGATGCTAGACTCTTCATGGAGATAAGCGAGGCCTCTTGCAATGCCTAAGCATATCTCAAAGCGTGTTGGCCAGTCTAGGTTCAGTTTCCCACTTCCTGCAAATATAAATGTTAAGTTTTATTTAAGAAACCTGAACTCCTAGAATTACTGTTGTATCAAACTGAAATGAGCTTGTACCAAATAATGCTTTATCAAGGCTTCCATTCTCCAGGTACTCATAAACCAGCAGTGGTTTATTTCCCTCAAGACAGCAACCATACAACTTCACAAGATTACGGTGTTGCACTCGAGAAATAGTTTCTATTTCAGCTGCAAATTGCTGTTTTCCCTGATGAGATGTTTCAGATAACTGTTTTACAGCCACCACCCTTCCATCAGCTAATTTACCCTGCAAGAAGGTGCCATTTTCAACAACGTAAGTTTGAATAGAAAAAAAAAGAAGTAGCACTCTTACTTTACCAAACCTGTGTAGAAGCTATAATCGCAACTAGAAACAATAGAGAAGGAAAAGAATAGTGAAAGTAGCTAGTGTGCATATATTGATATACGTGAAAATAATTGAAGAAAAAGAGTTTACATCACCCAAAAATGGAGATGAACTAAACATAAAAACTAATTGTGCATATAATAAAAAAAATGGGTATCCCCTTTTGCTATGAATAACTTAGGAAAATTACTTTCAGAGACTTCATAGAAAATTCGCATCCATGAGCACTATAGTTAAACTAACCTTATAAACTGACCCATATCCTCCTTCACCAAGAAAATTATTGGAACTAAAATTTTCAGTAGCGGTCCTTAGTTCACCATAAGCCAATACATTGGGTCTTCCAACAATACTGTAAAGCTCTGAAAACATCACAAAATATAAGTTTATAAACACAATCTCTTAGCTCGATTCATAATACATTGTAACTTGTAATCATGGTATCTCATTTACCTTGTTGCTCCAATAATAGTTTTCTCTTTTTGTGCCTCCACATACAGAGTCCAGCAATTGCTAGTACTCCCAAAACTGCTGCACCAACCACGACTCCAACAATTACACCTGTTTTACTACTGCTCTTCTTCTGTGCAGAATTACGGACTGTAGGGGTGAAATCTGTGAGAAAGTTCTCTTGTTAGAAAAATACGATGTTATAGTAGCAGTGTTTGGATTACTAGATTTTTCTGAATTGCCACTCGTTTTTACTGGAAGTGCACATGAGAACATTTATAACAGTTCAAAATGGATATGTACTACTACTATAAGTGCATGTACTGTTTCAACCATAAGCGCTTCTCAAAGTAGAAACTATATATGCATTATTCACCAAAAGGAAATTATCTAAAAAATGTTAAACGGTGATTGTATCTAAGAGGAGTACTTGGAGTTGCACTCAAAGCTGATATTGCAGGCCCGTAGTAGCCTTGACTAGGAATGCAACAAGTTCCCTTGCCAGCCCAGAAAAGATGAATCTCAAGGAAGTTTCTAGTGACAGGAACAATATACTGCTTCTTGACAGCAGTGTAAGATTTCTCCCCTGCTGCCTTCCTTATGTCAAAGTTCTTCTCTTTACGCTCGCTCGCCCTATGCCAAACACAAGAAAAAAATAATACAAAGTCTTAATCAGCTCATAAGCTAAAACCCCAAAATTTAGGTAATCAGCTCAAAAGGAACCAACCTGGAGATAGATATCGAAAACCCTTCTCCCAACACTCTTCCAAGTCTGTGAATCTTCAAAGTCAAACTCTGCAAATTGAAGAGTGACTGTATAGTTTCCATTCTGGAGTCCAATACCATAGTATCTCAAAGATGATGGCGACATCCTTGCTGTCTGGAATAGTTCTGAATCTAGAGTGTTCTGAAATTGGCGTGAGCTGTAGATTATGTAACTTCCACTTCCATTTGATGTATCCATGAACTTGCCGACATTGCTCACACCCCAGGTTGGTGCTCCTGTAACATAATAGGATGCAGCTCCAAGACTGGCATCATCAGGTTGATACATGGAGTTGTCAGAGCCAGATATAGGTCTACTGCTCCCACAGTCCACAGCAATAGAGGCAGCTGCAAGCAAGTCAATTATTTAACATTGTGTTAATTTAGTACACCTGTAGTATTTCTCAAGTAGGCCCATGCTTGAAATTGCAAAGGTGGTAAGCTCACATTGTGGAGAGCCAAGAAAACAGGGTGTGTCTCTCTGAAGGCACAACAGCCCTGAAGGTAATACACTGCAGATGTAAAACATTGGCATTTTGAATCCAATCTATATGCTGAGAGAACATAATGATTGTACTTGAGAACTTGAGGTGATATCAGAATATGAGCTAACCTATTCGTCATGAAATTGTTCGCCACCAAGTTCCTATGTAGAATGAAACACAGAAAAAAATAATTAGAAGGCATCACTGTTTTTTTTTCCGCATAAGAAGGCATCACTGTTACTTTCATAGCATATTGAAGGTTTGTCTGGTTTAAGCATAAATCAAGATAAGTAGGGACAAATAATTGATTCAGTTTATTGTGCTGGTTTGTAAGGTTAAGAACGTTTGTTTCTATAATAAAGATTCATAATCATATGTCAATTAGAATTGTAACATTTTTTAAAAATATATATATTATGGATGCACAAAAACAGAATTTCAAATGTACCAGAAATGCTTGTTTGATGCATGTATATACAATTACTCTAATAATCTAGGTTGGGTTGAATTGACCTAATTGGGTTGGATATGGTTTAGGACTTCAGGTGGTCACTTGAAGTTTCAGAACTCAGTACTCACAGTTGCAAATTGTTCTGAGTAGTCCAAGAAGGAAAGTTGCCTGACAGCTGGTTGTAAGAAAAATCTCTACAGAAAAGATAAAAGAGAAATGTTATAGATAAATGCCTCCGTGATTTTATTGCACAAACAAAATTGGATTTCGATGACATACAAATTTTTAAGAGAAGTTCCTATAGAGCTCGGCAGGCTTCCTGAAAGACTATTATTACCGAGAAATCTGGTAGGAACAAATTTGCTAGCATTAGCAACATGAACAATGAATATCTTCAAAATGAAGGAATAAGTTGAAGACGGTAAAAACTATACAAGAAGTTGAGTGAATTCAGATTCACAAGGGCTTCTGGAACTTGGCCTGTGATATTGTTAAAACTCAAATCCCTGTAACAGGAAAACGGAGAACAAGAGGGAAGTAAGTAATTAAACAAAGCATAATCCATTCATTAAAGCATATTTGCACAAATCACACTTGACAGGAGTTTGAAAGAAACAAAATGCCTTACAATAAGTTTAGATTTGCAAACTGTGAAAAGTTCACTGATGCCAGGCTATCAGATATCCTGCAATTCCTCAAAATTCTGCAATGAAGCATGCCAAGAGTATTTGGCTTTAATACCTTGATTGCACTATATCAAATATCAAGACATAGTTGTCCTTAAGTGATGACAAAGTTATCCATACAATGTGCTCAAAGATGTCATGTTACTGATGAATGTCAGTGAAGAACTTCCATTTACTATGTCACCTATTCTTCTGCAGCACAGAAATAGGTAATTCATACTTCCAGACAGTAAAACTACAATTAGAGGATAATACTTAGTACTCTCACCAATACTTACAAGCTTGTTAGTTGGACGAGATTAGAAAGAGTGGTTGGAAGTGGACCTTGAAACGAATTGCCTTGAAACCGCCTACAAAATTGTAATTCATGTTGCTATTTTAAAGAATCATTTCTTTACCGATGCATTTACTGACTATGTAGTCAAGAGAGAAGGAATATGACATTTCTTTAGTACAACGAAAGTAAATAAATCTGTGTAGCCAGAAATCTGATTTTTTTTTTCAAACAACACAGGAGAGCTGTGTGCCTTTGTATTAAAGAAAGAAAGAAAACCTGGATTAGTTACAATACCATAATGCAAGAAGGAAAAAAAAATCTTACAGTTCTGTTAAATTGGTCCAGCTCCCAATAAAATCTGGTATTTGCCCAGTAAAATCATTATCTGATGCCCACCTAAACACCAGAAAATAACATATAAGATTGAATCGCATGGAACAACATTGTAACAAAACATCTTTTATAGGCATACAGTATCTTCATTCTTGTTAGCCTAGAAAATGATGACGGTAGGGGACCACTTAGGCCGGCACTATCAATATACCTGCAATTAAGAGATATACATATGAACAAACATAAGTCATGGCGCCTACTAGTCCAAGCGAAGAATGAAAGAAAAAGGCCCATTTTACAGCTAAATAGTATTTGAGTTTTAAAACTTATGGATGGATTTAAAATTTTGAAATTACCCAAATAACTTTATATAAGTAAAATAAAGTGTAATAGTACTACAAAACAAATACTATTTAAACTAAACTTTCCACTATGTCGATCAAAATAAACTCCATTCCATATCAAACTGATTTAGGTTCTAAACAATCTTATGTGCAATTTTTTTTCCTAAAGAAAAATGCATGGAGTGCAACAATCCTAGACTAAGCCCATTGCTGACAGGTGTAAAATTGACTTTTCTCAAAATGAAAAGAAGAAAATGTATGGAATGCCCAAAAATAGTGAAGATTCTAGACGCACAATTGCTCAAGTTTTTCCAGGTTTCCCAACTCTGATGGAAGAGAGCCATTTAAGTAGTTCGAGCCAAAGCCTCTGAAAAAAATTAGCAAAACAATCCAGGTTAATAAAAAAAATGACAACTGAAACAAATATTTCTAGTTTTTATGATTCAAAATTTGGAGGTGATTTCTAATGGAGGTGCCATGATATTAACAAAATAGTTTACTTACAGAGATACAAGATTCGCAAGGTTCCCAAGCTCCTTTGGAACAGATCCAGACAATGCATTGATGCCCAAACTCCTTGTATTTTGAAAGAGGGAAAGTTTCTGATTTGATGTTAAGCAAAAACATGTTACGGGGTAATATTTTATGTTATAAATCTCACATGTACTGCATAGCAGTCAAATTCCCGAGGAAAGATGGCAAAGGCCCTGTTAAGTAATTTTGTCTTAAATCCCTGAAATAACATCAGATCAGATATCAGTGAAAAGAGATCAGATCATCATTTCATTAGGTATTATTCGCAGCATATCTGAATTTGGGAGTAACATTGGACCAATGTGAAGTTAAAAATATCATCTTAAGTTACTGCCAAAGTTTATGAGAAATATCAGCCACAATGACAGTTAATGGAAATCGCCAAATGAAGTCTGTGCTGTTCTGTACCAGCAATTTCATGCAAGAGAAATATGATGGTAGTATCAGATCTACAATCTGCGAAATCCATAATGGAAAACAAGAAAATGGGAGGATAAAATTATGCAATACGCATCAGGCAAATAACATAAACCCCCAACTAACCACAAGCGAACAGTTTTAGCAATATGACGCTTGAGATAGGATGTTTTTGGCTCCCAGACAATTTCATGCAAGAAAGATGAGAGCACCTACAGATTGGTCAAGCGCGTGAGGTTCTGCAGCTCCTCTGGTATGGGGCCAACTGCATTAAGTGCGTATATCTTCCTGCATTGGGAAAACAAAAAGTACCTATCAGCTCATGCCATCTGAAGTCAGCCATGACCGCTGTTTGTTGTCAGACATAAACACAACAAGGTGCACGAAACACCGTTGAATCCTCCACCAAGCATCTGGCTCTTGCAGGGACCAGTGTTCGTTAGCAAAGTGCAAAGATATGCGCATTCACGGCATGCGACAGGCCCAGCACGAGCGGCCAGGCTCAGGCGAGCATTCCATGGAGCACCTGACGCGCGGGCGTCTAGATAGAAACACAAGCACTTACAGCTTGGTGACGTGGCAGACGGTGACGTTGTTCTGGACGGAGCACTCGCACTTGATGGCCGGATTGAAGCTGGGGTTGTCGTCGATGACGGTGCCGTCCGTGGCGGTGCCGGTGCAGGGGTCGCCGCTGATGTTCCATGCCGACGACGCCGTCTGGCCAAGCTTGGCGAACACCGCGTTCACCGCCGCCGCTGCAAACCATTCACATCAGTAGCGGAAATAGACACAGACTCTGAGCGAGGTCCCTGCTCCCCGGGCGTCCGATGGCGCCGCGGCGATCGGACGGCCAGGAATCAGCGCCCACGCTGACATCGCGGAACCCGCCAAAACCAAGCTACGTGTGGCCGTGTGGGGGCGGTGGTGGTGTGTGGATTTTTTGTGTGTGCACGCGGTCAAAAGGCAAAAATATGGATATCCGCGGTTGACCTTTTAACCGAGACATTTGGAACAGAGTAGGTGGTGATCGCCTGGAACAACTAGGCACTTAGGCAGCCAGAGGTAGCAGAGGAAGAGATCATGTATGCAACCGTAGCGGGGGGAAAAGAATTTCTTGCACGGCAACCGGCAGGAAAACCCACGACTAAATCCACATGCCATGGAAAATTCAGAAGCTTTTTCTTGGGAGCACGAGAAGGCAAACAGAGCAAAAACAGAGATGAACTGTACGTTCTTTGTGCAAATGAAGGCAGCCAGCATGACGACGAAGGGTGGGTAATGAGGAGAAGATGCAAGGAGGCGGCGGATGGATCGATGATGCGAGCTGGTTCGAAAGCCTTGGGTCAATTCCATTCCCGGGAAGAACTGGAGAGAAACTACTAACCTTCGACTGGATCGGTCTTCATCGTTGGCGTTTGCTGAGCTTGCGCGGCTGATGCAACTAGAAGAAGAAGAAGCAGCAGCGTCGGGAGTGCGGAGCCATGGGGGCACGAAGAAGGTCTGGAGCTCGATCCAGACCTCATCGTCTCTCTGCTCGAGCAGCGGAGCCTGGATTGGCTGCCCCCTCGGAGCCCGGTAGGCGGTAGAGAGAGATATGGTGACTCGTCCTCGGAATGGGACGTGTCTCACTCGATCGGTTGGACCCCGCAGCTCGGTGCGCGCAGACACGATATTTATACGTACTCACTCGACGCTCGGACGTTGCCACTGGTGGTACCGACTTCAGCATGTTGGTTTGGCGTGTGCTTATAGTATACGATGTAAATTTTTAGTTGGAATAGTATTTTTCTCTCATACAAATCAACCAGCAGTATTTCTTTATAAACCAGCAACGATACGAACCAGCCAACTGAATATGCTTTCGTTTTTCTACTGGCAAGTGGCGCCACTGCTGTCTACATGCATTGCAGCAACGGCCCAACAACTACCTCCATCTCACACATGGAATGGAACGGAGGCAAAGCCAGACGACTCGCCAGCCGACCCGATCCTACCTAGTAGTAGTCGTAGCTGAAACAAACACGTGTGGCTGCAAAACGTGCGCGTGTCGGCCTGGTGACGGGGATCGGTGCACCCCATGTCGGACACGGTCGTCAACGGGGCATGGAGCCTGGCCGCCTTGGGCACTTCGTTCCCTGCCTGTTGCGCATGCGAAGATTAGTCGTGTACACTTGACATGCGGCCGCTGAGAAAGCCGACCCGGATGGACGGAGTACTGACGCGGCGCACGCTAGGCTTCGTTTAGTCTTTGGAGTTAGTTGCTAGCGCACGGACGTATGATGCGGATGGTTAGCATCGAACCGTGTAAATTTTCGCTGAAATATTAATATATGAATAAAAAAATCCCGCATCTAGCTCACCATACTTATCTGTATGCTTGTCCGCACACCTCGCACGCTTGCCCCGACGCCTGACCCACCCCCATCCACATTTGCTCGCCCCGCCCCCACAGGCGCACCTCTGCCCCGTCGTGCCTCCGACCGCCAACCCTAAGGCGCCGCGCGCAACGTCCGCCGGCCACCGGCTCGCCATGCCCTCTGACTCTCCGAACAGCATGAAACACGTGCAAAATGAAACACTTGAATGCAGCACACGTCTGAAAACAAATGAAACATCTAGGGCATACACTTATAACATATGTGTGAAAACATATGCAATATCCAGGTGGAATACTTGCAACTTGCAACATGAAAACACTTGCTGCAACATAAGACTAAAACAGATGAAACATTTTGGAACATAATGTTGCAACATATGTGTGAAACCATATACAACATCTAGATCAAAACGATTGCAACATACGTCTCGAAACAGATGAAACATTTTGGAACATAATGTTGCAACATATGTGTGAAATCATATACAACATCTAGATCAAAACGATTGCAACATACGTCTGGAAACAGATGAAACATTTCAATCAAACGCTTGCAACATTCCTCTGAAACACTTGCAACATGTGCAACATCCTCCGATCTACTTTTGAAATATTAATATGAAACAACTGCAACATACATCTGAAACGTCTGAAACACTTGAAACATAAATATGCAACATAGGAGAGAGGAATGCTGGGCCGATCGATTCCGGTCGTCGGGGTCGGACATGGCGGCGCGCGGCTGCGTGCGAGCACCACCACCACCGCCACCAGTACTGGGCTTGGATTGGCAGCGGCGCGTGCAGCAGTGAGGTAAAGTTATGGTGCATGTACCACACGTTCGAAGGGAAGTCGGCGTAAACGGAAGGATTAAGAAAATTAGAAAAGCACGTGCTACCCGGCCCTCGTGCTCCTTGGTTGACGTTGACAAAGGCAAATTAATCCTGGGCAACTATTCGCGGGTGGATGAGGAGGCAAATTCATATTGGGGCAGATCCAATAAAAATCAAAAAGGAAAGAAAAAAAATCTACACGGCGAGCTGCCGTGGCGCTTACGTGTGTGATGAGCAAGCGAGCGATGGGCGACGACTGGAGGAGGTTATGGCGATGGTCGCTTGTCTTATAATCCATACTTTTCAGCTTGTCTTTTTAGTTGAAATAGTGTTATTTTCTCCCAACAAATAAGCCGGAACAGTGTTTCAGCTTATTTTTTTAGCGAAGTGAACGGGGCCTATGGCGACGTGTCAGTCACGCGTGTGTGCGTACATACTCCATACGTCGATCTACACAGCGTGCAGTGGTACTGGTACGTCCGTACGTGCTGAGTTGGGAGCTGTACTTGTTCGCGATGTGGTTCTAGGGCGTGTTTGAGACCGCGGTCGTCGACCGCGCGGTGCGGTATGGGCACCGCGAGCTCCGAGTCGCGGTGGCGTAAACGCGAGCACCGCGCGCTGCTAGTTCATTTTCGTGACTCTCATGCTGAGTGCGGTTGAAAGAATTATCACGGCCACATGACGTTTGGCGCGATTGTTCGATTCTTTCCACTGTCACCGCGGAATACGCTGTCCCAAACACCGCCCTAGGCTCGTCGCTTATGATCCTATCAACGGAACGGGCGATTCGCCGAACGGCTTCCACGCTCGGATGAATTTTCTACTCCATGCATAGGACACAGCAAGTGGCGCCACTGCTGTCCACATTCAGAGCACGCAACAACAGGAAGCCACCAACTGAGACGGCTGACCAGTCGCAACGTGACCCTATAACTTGCTCCCTACATCCAAATCCAAAAAGAATAAACAAATTTGTTTTTGCAAATAATAGTTACTCAATCTGGAGCTCATAAGTTTCACTGAATGTTTATAAAATATATTAATATTTATAATGTTTAGTAAATATTATTAAGACATTTACGGGATATTTTAAAATAACAAATCTATTTATTAGAAAATATATAAATGCCAATGCTATTTTCTATAAGTTTAGCAACACCTAAGATAAATTGACTTATCAAAAGTGATTTTTTTTAAAAAAAACAGGAAATACTACTCTTATTATTATTAATTACTATTTGTATTATGGTGTAGTAGGCAATAGGTGAAACAGAAACGTGTGTGTTCCCGAAACAGGCGCGCGTCCCGTATGTGCACCCGTATTGGCCGTATACATGTACATGTACGGGGGACCACGGAGGCGTGAGCGTGACGTCGATGCGTGGACCCCATGCCGGACGCTCCCGGCATGCTGGCCGACTTGCGCTTCTGCGTTGTGACCTGTGAAGAATTGTCAATTGTGTACTTGCGCGCGCGCGGCCGCTCAAAGGTGGACTGCGCCTAAGAATTTTGTTTATTCCTGGCTGATAAAGTACGCACCACAGCCAATGAGCCATCGTGCTGGTTGGTTGGCGACTTCGTTCTGAGGATCAAATAATTAATTGATTATTAGCAAGACAAATCCCGGGCAACTTGTAGCATTGCGGTTGGCGGGCTGGGTGCGATCATTATCTACGTACAGTACCCCTTTAATCATCATCTGAACAAAGCAGCATATATATTGAATGAAATAAGCTGATTACATTTAACCCCAACCTTGTAATTGAACTCCAACGTACAGAACTTGCCGAACAAACAAGGGTTTCTCGGCCAATAATCAGCTTAATTATATTAATAATCACCCTGTTGACTGATGCTAAAATTTGGTTTATGCTGATGCTTATGCTGAAATATTGTGAGAGAAAAATAATATTTAATGACTAAAAAGTAGTACTGAATAAAGCGAACAGGGCCAATAATACTATACGTACACTCATTTGCCAAATTAAAATTTACCAAGTTCTCGCCATATGCACGCAAGCTGCCAAAACCTACAACTTATTCTCCAATTGTGAGAGCACTATCATTGCCCAAAGTTATGGTGCACGTTATGCCACGCGTTTGAAGAGAAGTCGTTGGTGTCGGATGTACTGTATGTAGCATTATACCGTTTACTCGTAAACGGAAGGATTAAGAAGATTAGAAAAGCACGTACTACCCGGCCCTCGTGCTTCTTGGTTGACGTTGACAAAGGCAAATTAATCCTGGGCAACTATTCGCCGGTGGATGAGGAGGCAAATTCATAGGCTCCGTTCACGCGCCCTTAAATCCGATTTGATCCGTTTCTTTTTTTATTTAGAATAGTGTTTTTCTTTCACAAATTTCTCCAGATTCATTCAGATTCCTTCAAATTACTCTAAGCGAACGGGGCCATATTGGGGCAAATCCAATAAAAATCAAAAAGAATAAACAGCAAGTGGGGCCACTGCTGTCCGCATTCAGAGCTAAGTGGCTCCACTGCTGTCCGCATTCAGAGCACGCAACAACAGGAAGCCACCAACTGAGACGGCTGACCAGTCGCAACGTGACCCAATAACTTGCTCCCTACATCCAAATCCAAAAAGATTAAACAAATTTGTTTTGCAAATAATAGTTACTCAATCTGGAGCTCATAAGTTTCACTGAATGTTTATAAAATATATTAATATTTATAATTTTTAGTAAATATTATTAAGACATTTACGAGATATTTTAAAATAACAAATCTATTTATTAGAAAATATATAAATGGCAATGCTATTTTTCTATAAGTTTAGGGGGTGTTTAGTTCCACCGACTAAATTTAAGTCTCTGTCACAACAGATGTTTAACACTAATTTGGAGTATTAAATATAGACTAATTACAAAACTAACTGCACAGATTGAGACTAATTTGCGAGACGAATCTATTGAGACTAATTAGTACATGATTTGACAATGTGGTGATACAATAAATATGTGCTGATGATGGATTAATTAGGTTTAATAGATTCATCTCGTAAATTAGTCTTCGTCTGTGTAATTAGTTTTATAATTAACTTATATTTAGTCCTCCTAATTAGTATCCGAACGTCCGATGTGACAGAGACTAAACTTTAGTCTCTAGAACCAAACACCCCTTAGTAACACCTAAGATAAATTGACTTATCAAAAGTGATTTTAAAAAACACTGTTGGTAACACCTAAAAAACACTGTTAATTACTAAGATAAATTGACTTATCAAAAGTTTAGTAACACCTAAGATATTATTATTAATTATTATTTGCATGTTCGCTGGTTGGTTTCTGGGCTGAT